CCAGTTTCATAATTTCTTTATAAACTGCTATTGTGGATAACTTTTAAAAGAAATGTTGGCCAAATCGCTGGTACAACAGCAGCAATTTTGTGTATGTGAAAAAATACTTCAAATGTACTTGTTTGATATACATAATTAACAGAGCTGCATAAAAAAATACATAATAAATTGTATATTTACATAATATTTGGCAAAACTGCACTAAATAATGTTAATGTTAAGTCAGAAAAATTATTTGTCATTTCAGCTTCTATTACATTTTGCTTTAAAGCTGTTTTTGGCTCAGTAAATCAGTGTTGATATTGTTGGCCAATAATTTTTGTCAACAAATATTTTTGAGGAAAACAACAGATAAACATGGGATGAAGACGTTCTGGAAAAACAAAATCCAATCAGAACTAATGACGTTGTGTAAAAAGGCCAAACAAGTTTGGAAGTGATCAAATCAGAATAAATCTCCATGTGCAGGTTACAGGCTACAAAGGAAAAAGCTCCAATGTCCTCAATTTCTCATGAAAACATGACAAAATGTAAAGAAGAGAAGAGTAGATTTATGGACATATTTCACATTTGCTGTCAAGAAAAATAAAACGCTTTGTAAACCATTTGGAGCAACTTCCACCAGTACAAACATGACAAACTTTTACACTTTGTGTTTTACTCAACTGAATTAGCTTTAGATTTAGTAAACGATAGTCTTATATTTAGTCAACTAAAATGAGTAAAAAATAAAAGTATTTAGATGCCTAAATTATGGCTAAAACTAAATCAAAAATTGTTGTCAAAAATTAAACTGATATGAATGTCATATACCATATACAGACTTAACTTACAGCACTGTCTTCAGCTTCCTGTTTGGGTAAGATTCCTCTCTAACTTTATCCATTAGTCTCTTTGTCCCATTGTCTCCTGGATGATTGTACCTCAGATCCAAATGTTCCAGACGGGATGCTGTGTTGGACTCAAGAGACAAGGCAAGGAAAGAGCAGCCTTTCTCTGTTACCTGACAACCAGACAACCTGCAGAAAAAGCAAACAGAGAATTTCTTTTGTTTGTCCTTCAGAGTTTTGATGATGAAGAAATTTCCTTCTTAATTACTGAAAGTTGATTTTTAACATTCTTAACTCCAGTCAGTCATACAATCGGCATTAATCTTAAATAAGTGCCTTGTCCTCAAAGACTTTACATTACAATCCACCAACTATTTATATGCCCCAGGTGATGGACTTCAAGTGGATGTCAAAAACGACAATCTAGGTTTCAGTATTGTAAGACATTTTTCTGTTTAAGTAATATCTCTTCATTTCTATTTTGAGTCTCAGTCTGAGTCTGAGAAACATTTGATTTTAATTTAAAAAAAAAAAAAAAGGAATCTTGCCTAGCACTGTTAATGCTACACTTGTATTAGGGAAAATAGCTGTTGGAGATCAAAGTACAAACAAAATAATTGCAAACATTAAAAATAAACTTGCAATCTCACTGCCTCTGAAACTGTTGTTTCAAAGACAGGGAACAGGTTAACGAATAGTTGCCGCCTTCAAAGTGGTGAGTCAACATGGTAAAAAGATTGATTCAGTCTGTTATCAGTCTGCTTAAGTTGGCAACTTTTGCCAGTGGCGTGTCCAGCGGGGGGCCCTGGGGGGGGCACAGGCCACCCCCAGTGGCAATTAAATATCAAATGTACGATTATGTTTTCACAGTGAAGCTCAGATATCCGAGTGTATGTGAATGCAGCATCGGCTTCTGCACTATGAGCATCACGTTAGCACCGCAGAAAATGAGGAAAGAAAGAAA